TGACCATGAGCCTCCTGTCCTAAAACAGGCTCAGCAGTGCTGGCCTTGGGAGCAAGGGCCCAGCCCAGGGCCCAGCCCAGCCGAAGCTCTGGGCCCCTCTGCCCCTGCGTGGTCGGCCCCGCCCGGCCCCTGGCTGCCCCCTCACCTGCTGCGGTGCTCTCGTTGCCCACAGGGGTGCTGGAGCAGCTCCGGTCCATGGTGGACGACTCAGAGGACACGGCGCCCGGGCTGCAGCCGGTGTAATCCATGTACTCGTCCGTCTCAGTGTCCATCAGGCTCGGGGGGCCCTGGAAGGAGGCGGGGGCCCTGAGGATGCTGGGCCAGGGCTGCGCTGCCCAGGGGGGCGGGCTGTTCTCCTGGATGGCGTGGCCCGCCATCGGGAAGCAGGAGGGTCCCTGGGTGGGGGCAGGGCGGTCTGCCTGGGCTGGGCTCTCACCTGGGAGGGGGGCACGCGGTCGAAGTTCTTCCCCAGCATCCTCCGCATGTGCTTCCGGGCGTGGGAGGTCATCTGGTGCTTGAGCAGGAAGGAGAACTGGCAGCCCTCGCGGATGCAGTGGAAGTGGCTGTTCACCTGGTTGTACTTGCAGCCTGTGGACATAGCCCACTTGGCCATCAGCCCCTCAGCTGGCCAGGGCTCAGGGCGCTTACTGCGTGTCAGGCACTGTTCTGGGCGCCAGGAGGCAGGGCCAACAAGGCAGATGGCATCAGGGGAAAGGGCATTTCCCCCGTGGTGGCGTTCCTGTGAGGAGGGCTCGTACCCGACCCCACCAGCCGAGCAGAGAGGCATGTGACAGTGGCAGGCTGGCCCCCATCCCCTGCCCCAAACGCCGAGAGGCCCATGGGATCCAGGGCAAGGGACGCTCATGACCTGTCCACTCGGCTGGCCACCTCCCAGCACGCCGTCTGTGCCCACATCTCCCCTGCCCCGGGACCTTGTTTGGACGGCCGCAGGCCGCTGGCCCTCTGCCCTGCCCCCTCCCGCCTCCACCTCAGCTTCGCTCTGGGCTGAGAACAAACAGAACAGGCGGGATTGAAACAGTATCAGCGAAGGGCAGGTGAAGGCCTGTCTGTTGCCATGGCACCTGAGCTGGCCAGGTGTCTCATATCATCCCCCAGCTTTGTTTGGCCCCAGCCAGCACCCAAAACACCCAAAGTTGAGTAAATAACAGCAACTACAGAATACCCTGACACCTGTAAACTGAGCCCAGAAACAGCCCAGGCCACTGAGTGTTGACATCTGTTGCCATGGTTACCAGCCCTCTCCCAGGTCATGAATTCTTTCTGAATTAATACTTGGAGGAAAGGTTTGTGCCCTGTCTTTTCTGCCGGGTGGCTTTTGGTATCTCGCCGTCCCCCTGTGGAAGGGTCAGGGTGCAGTGGCCAGCGGCCCCACCCATGCTCCCCGAAGGCCCTGCTGCTGTGACCGCCTGAGTCACTGCTGCGCTCGCCTGCGGGGTAGGGGCTGCCCTGCCCGCCCGGCCACTGCCCGGCCTCCAGTCTGCCCCTGCTGGGCCGAGTCTCGCCCCATACCAGCAGGCCTGTGAACAGGAGGCTCCGTCCTGAGGCAGGAGGGTGGGCTCTGCCCTCTGCCCTCTGCCCGCCCGGCCTGCAGCCCCGCCCTGCAGGCGTCCCCAGGGAAGGCCCTGGGGGGCTCTGTGCCATGGTCTGGCGGGTGGGGGGGTCAAAGGGCAGCTTCCCTGCAGGGGCCCGGTTCTCCCCAGCGGAGCTAAATTCGAGGCATCTGCGGCCCAGCTCGGGGCCCCCTGCGGCCCGCTCCTGCCAGCCCCAGTGCCACCTCCTTCTGAGTCACCCCGAGTCAGAGATGCTCTGGCCTTAGCCTGCCATGAACTTGCTTTTCCCACGACACCCCTGGCACTGAGCAGACAGTGCTGGCCATAATAGATACAAAAAAATAGCTGCCGCCGCTTCCCCCTGCCCTCAGTCCCCCACCCCCCTACGCCAGCGCCAGCTCTGCACATGGCTGTTGCTCCACAAGTGTCGCTGAAGGAACAAACGCACAGGCGGAGCAGTGGGTGCACACTAGACAAAACCCTCGCTGGGACAGCCGCGGAGACGACCCCGGGACCGGGGGCTCAGGGGCTCCTGGCACTCCCTGGAGAGTCCTCTTGACAAGGAGAGCGGGGAGAACCCAGCCTGGGCTGGAGGCCCGAGAGGCCCCGGGCCCTCTCCCTGGGGTGGGCGCGGGGCCCCATGTCACGCGCACCCTTCTCCCGGGCTCATGGGTTTTGACTGTTTTCCCAGTGTGACAAGGCTGGGCCGGTGACACCTGTGCCGTTTCTAACAAAACGTGGAGCCTGGTGTGCAGGGGCAGGAGGTAGGTGCCCAGAGAAGAGATGCAGGCCGCTGGGGCCCCCGGGGCCAGGGCCCCCGCCCGGCCCAGCCCAGCCCGGCCCCGGGTACCTGGCCGGCCGCACTCCTCGCGCTTGGTGAAGTACTTGAACCCGTTGGCTGCCCGCCGCTCTGCTTTCTCGTGCTTCTTTATGTGCCACGGCAGCTTGGTGGTGATGTTGGTCACAAAGTAGCAGCCAGTCCGGAGACAGTGGTAGTGCCCACGCATCCGGAACTCGCAGTGCTGCGGGGGCCGAGGGGGAAACGGGGCATCAGGCCCACAGGCCGACCACAGGAGCTCCCACCTGCCCTGGCTCGGGGGCGGGGCGGGGGCGCTGCGGCGGTGCTGCGGCGCTGCGGCGCGCCCCTGCACAGGTGTTCCTCCACATTCAGAATCAGAAAACAAGCAGGCGAGGACCCTTCACGTGTTAAAAGGCAGCATGTCCCTGCTGTCGTTTGGCTACCGCGTCCCGCCTGGTGTGACTGCCACCCGCCTCTAGAGCTGCACCCAGAGCAGACATCGCTAATCCATCCCAGCTCTTCTCCGCGTGCCCAGGCCTGGTCCTGGCCCCTCGACAGGATCCGCACACGGTTGGGTGGGGGGCCCTTTGGGTGAATCCGAGCTGCCCTTCCTGTCTGGGCCGCAGGCAGTTCAGTCTCTCTATGCGTCCAATGTGCCCATTTAAAATCTAGGCCTTTGGGGAACGGGGGCCTCGCCACTTAGAGGCAGGATGATGCCAAGGGTACAGTGGCTGCCGGCATGGAGTCACCAGGGAGGGCGCAGGTGAAATGACAGACCTCACCCACTGAGCTCCGACCTGAATCCCTGCCCAGGGCCCCCGGGGGCAGGCAGTGTCCCTTCCAGAGTCTGGAGGAGGCTGATTCCAAGGGCGCAAGGAGCTCTGTTTCTCCCCTCCCTGCCCCTGCCCGTGCCCCTCCCCAGGCCGCTTCCTCCCCCGCGCGGTGCGCCAACCTGGTTGGGGCAGAGACATTGCAAGGAGTAGTAGGCAAACTGGTCTCGCACGTTCACCAGGTTGTTGTTGGGGTTGATGTGGTCCAGGCAGTGGGACTCGGCCTTGCCGGAGGTTTTGCAGACGTACTTGCAGTTCCCAAAGAGACAGTGGAAGTGGAACTTGTTGGCGTACTTGCAGTCCGTCGCGAGGCAAGGGTCACTGGAAAGAAACCACAGCCCAGGAGGTCATTGGCATCCCCGGTGCCCTCCCTGCCAGCATCCAGACATTTGCTTGTGCTGGGGTTCTGCCCCCCGGGGCCCTGGGGGTGCAGTCGAGAGGAATGGTCCCTGGGCTGTCGTCCTGCTCAACGGGATGACTCAGCCCGAGGAGACTACAGATCCCAGCATGCATCCCTGCCCTCCTTTTGGAGCTCAGGTGGCGCAGAAGGGATTACAGTGTGCGGGCTGCCCAGAGCGTTGCATGCTGGGACGCGTAGTTCCCGTGGCCACACCTCGGGATCATAGATAAGGATGTCTGTGGTAACTTCTTGGATATGAAAAAGAGGGACGGCGCTGCCAGGCCTGGCGGGGTGCCAGCGAGGCCTGGCTGCCGTGGTGCGGGGATGGCCCTGGGCGTGGCCGACTGATAGGGTGCAGGCGGGGGGCGGGGGGGCAGCCCCACCAGGAAGTTTTGCTACCCAGGGCCCTGGCCAGTGGGACTGTGTGCCTGGTGTCAGGTCCCACTCAGGTTCACAACTGCTGGGGCTCCCGGGGCCACGTCAGGGCTTGGGGTACCCACCCACTCACAGAACTGCACAAGCCAGTGGAGTGGCGGGGCTGGTGGGCGGGAGGGAGGCTGGGCCCCACCCTTGCCCCAGAGCCGTGCCCAGGGCCGCAGACCGGCATGTAGGGCGCTGTATTCCGGCCACCTGCCCCGGCTGCACACGGCTGCCCCCGACCTCGGCCGGTGGGAGCTCTGACCAGGTCTGGCAAACTGAGAGGGCTGCGACTCTGGAGCTGTGAGTGGGGGAAGGGAGGCGGGGGGCGGGCTGGAGCAGAGTGCAGGTCCCCTCCCTGCTATGGGCCCAGCCCCAGGTGCTCAGAGAGGGAGGACAGCTGCCACTCAGGTGGTGTGTGTTCACATCCAATTTATTACTTTTATTGAGAACAGGAAGCCGCACACATCACGATACAGAGTCACCGTTCTCGCCGCAAGTAGCCACCACCGAGTGAGGAAGGTCCCTTCCAGCCCTGAGAACTCAGACTGTTGTGCAGGGGGACGTGGGCCTGGGGGACCTCCCCCTGCCCCTGAATTAGCTGGCCCTGCAGAGATCAGCCATGGGTGGGCGCCCCGGGGAGAGGGGCAAGGCGGCCCGGAGGGAGACGCGGCCCCCCTTGCGGGCGAGGACCCCCACTCCCGGCCCGCCTCAGTTGGCCCTTGCCGCTTCACCACTGGCCCTCTGGAACCGTGGCCACTGCCACCTGTCTCCCCCCAACCCCAGCCACCTGCTCTGGGGACAGGCAGGTCAGAGCAGCAGCATCTTTGGCTAGGAGGACATTGCCTGACGACCGTGTCCCAGAGAGGCCGAGGACGGCCAGGCCCACCGCAGGCTGCGGAGCCGCGGCTCCTTGGCGCTCCTGGCTAGCACCTACTCCCGAGACACGCGGGGGACACGGGACTCCCGGCTCATCGAGGGACTCACTTCTCCTGGAACTGGAGGAATCCGGGTTTGACCTGGGGCTTGGCGTTCTCTAGAGAGGTCGTTGCCAAGGGTGAAGTGGGCAGGTGAGGCACAGACGCTGGAATCTGAGGCATCTGGGGGATGGTGGAAGCCAGCTGCTTCCAGGCGAGCAGGGTGGGGGTGGAGGGCACAGCGGCCAGGCTGGGGGTCGGCCCCTCCAGAGAGGCGACCGTGGCCGTGGTGACGGGAGGCGCTGGAGGGGAGGGCGAGGGGGCCAAGCAAGGTTTGGTCTCAGCAGCCGAGGCTGGGAAGGAAGCCTCCGCGTTTCCTTTCACGGCTCCTCCCTCCGTCCGGAAGTGGAAGCTGCAAGAGGCAGAATGGGTGTCTCAGGTGGGGCGGGGAGGGGCCCCTGAGCAGGTTGGCCCTTCCGCAGAAGCCTAGGGGCCCCGTGTCCCCATCTCATCCCCAAGGCCAGTTCCCACCGGCAGGGAAGGCCTGAGACAGAACTGTGTCCTCTGGTCCTGAACTTGGGCTCCTGGCTCAGTCCTGACCTCACCTTCCTACTTGGGACCTTCCTGATGCGTCTGTCCCTAGCCCCTCCCTGCTCAGAGGGGGCCGGGGGACAGTGAGCCCTGGCTGACAAAGCCCGCCCTTCCAAAACCTGCTCCGAAATTTAAAGGTGGGCCTCAGGGTCTGCGGCTGGCGCCTCTGCAGACTGGTCGCTGAGGCTGCCTAGCGGGGAGCCTGACCCGGGCTTCGGGCCTGTCACAGTCTGCTCCAAACGCCTCTCGTTTCTGAGTTCAGTTACAACGGGCAGCTGGACTTGCCACTGTTCAGCTCAAGGGGCTTTACAAACATCCGTATTTTTAGGTCATAGAGAAGCTATACATTCAGTGCTTCAGCTTGAAAGGGGCTTCACCGAGGGTCCCTGCCAGGGTCAGGGCTGGGTCTCTGCAGCCGGCACTGTGGGGGGCGCTGCGGTGGGGGGCTGAGGCTGCCCGGGGCTGGGCACACTCAGAGGGCCTGGCTGGGGGTGGGGCAGGAGGAAGGATGGGGAAGGCAGCGCCTCCTGAGAAGCGGCCCAGCTTCCTGAACCTTCTCTGGTGGGAAACGACCACGGATCTCGCGTGGAAGGCAGGGAGCAGCCTGTGTCTCCTCCGGCCCCACCCAGCCCGGAGCCCAGTGTGGATCGACAGGGCTGAGTCTAAAGGGGCCCCTTCCAAGGACCCCAACTCACTTGGCATGCTTGATGGCCCCGTCCAGGGTGCTGAAAAGTGCGCCACATTCCTCCACCACGCAATGGAAGTGGGCCTTGTGAAGGAAGTCACACTGGGCATCGCAGAAGTCCTTGGTACCAAACCTGGCCAGAGGGGTTGGCTGGTCAGAGGAGACGCTGGGGCTCTGGCGAGGCCGGGGTGTGTGGTGCGTCTGGGCACCAGCCACCGGCAAGGGGGCCCGGCCCCTCCCTCCCGCTTGCTTGCCCTGCCAGGCCCTCACCTGCGAAGGTACACCTTCCAGGGCTCTGACGGCTTCTCCGGGACCAGCGCCTTTGCAGCCTTGCCCGGGAAGGGCAAGGCCTCCATGGCGGGGCTCCCCTCTGCTTCTGTCTTGATGTTCAACAGGCTGCCATGGGGGGGGTTGCCCTGAGACATCTGTGGGGAGGACAGGGGCCAGGCTTGGGGCTGGGGGACCTCAGGACACAGCCAGCTACCTCGCGAGCAGCAGCAGCAGCAGCAGCTCGGGGCCACTTGGGCCTCTCACCACCGACCAGAGTGCAGCCATGCCGGCAGCAGGCAGGACAGGAGGCCGGGCCCCGTGTGGCTCTGGCTGTAGAAGGGCCCTGTCTGCGTGGATGCTGCCCGGCCTGTGGCACAGCCGGGGCTCCCGCTCACGAACCCAGCGCTGCCAGGAGCCGGCACGCAAGCTGAGGCCAGGCTCAGGCTATGGCACCCGCCAGCCCAGCCTTCCCCAGACTTCACGGCTCCCTGGTTATTTTCCTGCCAGGTTTTCAAAAGAAGAGCAGGAGGCGGAGGGGTTGGGGGAACCCCACGAATTCCTTGAGAACAAGAGAAGGCACACAAAGGAGGAGCAGAGGGGGAGAGGGGGAGGGCGGGAGGCTCTCGGGGTCAGATGGAGGCAGCTGGGAGCTGCCGGGCGGGGAGGGGGGCCGGGCAGAGGCTGGACCAGGAGCGCGAGGGGCTGCAGGGGCAGGGCCTGAGGAGGAGAAGGGGGCGCACGGAGCCAGCAGGGGAGAGAGGGAAGGAACAGGGGCCAGGTGCGGGGCAGAGGGCAGAGGGCAGCGGGAGGCTCCTCCCCAGCCCAGGGCCCCAGCCCCGCGGGGTCCGGCCCTGGCCCAGTTCTCTCCTCGACAGTCACTTGTGCTCGGTAACCAAATTAATCTTGCTGTAGTCAAATTTATCATGTGAAGGGGGAAAATATATTTGAGATGATGTATAATTTACAAAGACCCTGCATTATTTAAAATAAATATTCCGGAGCGACCTCTGCGGAAGGCGTCCGAGACCATTACTCAACCTGAGAAGTGGGAATGGATGCTTGGCCCCCACTTTGGTCCCCCTCCCCCACCCCTTTTTAAACAAACAAAAATACATATATACAAAATAAATAAATAAATAACATTAATAACCAACAGCGGAAGAAGTTAGCGGCTCCAGAGGAGCTTTTGGAGCCTCCGTCTGAAGGGAGAAAAAGGGTGTCAGAGGCTGGAATATATTTCTTCAGCCAGTTCATTAAATTAATTTGTAAGCAGTGGCTCTGAAATTATATCCGATGAAAAATGGCCTCAAAATTTAAATGGTACAAACTCATCTTATTAGAGGCAAAACATTAAAAAACAAACACATCCCCCCCACCCCCCAGCACGACTTTAATTTCTCTGGGTGGGGGAATGGGAGGCGTGTGATGGATGATTCTTACCTTATTCATAAGCGAGGATAAAAGAGATGAATTTGCCGGGACTGCGTGGCCATTTGATTCATTACTGGAACACACAAACCAAGGGGCTTCAGCACAGACGCCTGTGGGACGGAGCCCGGAGCCTCGTCCCTCCCAGCCTAGCCCCGGGGCTCCGGCCAGCCTGCTCCATCTGCCTGGGCAGGGGGTGACCCCTTGCCAGGAGGACTCGGCCCCTGTCCCCCGTGGGGCCTGGCTCCGAGGGGGCTGCCCCCGACCCTCCTGTAGGGGGCGGGGAGGCCCCGCCCGGCCTCACCTGGGCTCCTTGGCAGTCAGGTCCACACTGCGGTCCTGGGAGGCCTCGAGGGGCCCTGGCGTGCCAGTGCTCTCGCCAGGCTCCTGCTTCACCGGGGCCGAGGGGAACCTGGCAGGAGTGGCCTGCTGCCCATTTCCTACGGGGAGGGGAGGGAAGATGGCGTGAGAGGGGCCGAGCGCTTCGGGTTGGGCATAGACCACAGGCCCAGCAGGGAGGGCGGCGGGCTGGGTGGACTGGGGCCCCTGGGGAGCCCTGGCTGCTGGTCAGCGGTTCTCCCCACTGACATGATCGCCTGTGACGCTCACCCCTGGGTGGCAATTCTTCAAGTGATAATTATTGCAAAATTATGTCAAAGTTGTCCAGGCTCAGGGCCTCCTGGATGAGAAGGGCGGGAGGCTGGTGGGGGGGCGCTGGGCCGGGCGTGGGGGCCCTTCATTTTCTCCACCAACTGTCACAGTCAATTTGTGGGGCTGCCGCTTAGGCTTTTATTAAAGACTCTGTTAACGCTGAGAGAAAGTGGCAGATCTAGACTGGGAGCTGCGCGCCCCCTCCGCAGGTCCCCATCCCACTGTTGCCGGGGCGACGGCCCTGCCTTCCACTGAGCATGCCTAGGAGGGGCATCTGCCGGGTCAGGGCTATGGAAGCTGACAGCCAATCAGAGCGGTTCAAACTATGTGACCTCGCCCGTCAAGCTGTCCAGGGCAGGGACGTGAGGCCGGGCTGGACCGGGGCTTGGGCAGGCGCCGCCAGGGTGTGGGCGTGGGGGGAAGGCTGGAGCAGGATGGACGGAGGGTTCGGGAGGCCAGGCAGAGCAGGGGCCAAAGAAGTTGCTGACAGGAACGTGTCCACCCAGCCTTTCTCCATAATCCCCAAGTGACTGAAATATTAATCTGCCCCCAGGCACTGCAGCTGACAGAGAGCTGCTTCACAGACAGCAAGTGGCATTTTATTAAAAAGTAAAGGAAAACGAGCCCTCTTCCTCTTTGCCTGACCTTTCTTTTGGGGAAAGGAGATTCTTCGGTTAAAAAGGAAGTACTTGGCAGCCTGGCTGCCGAGCCCAGTGTAGCCTTGGAGGGCCCTGCAGGCGCCTGGCCAGAGGGGTGCGGCCCCGGGCCTTCCCCGGCGTCCCTCCCAGGAGTGAAGGTGGGTCTCTCTGAGCTGCCAGCTGACAGGAGTGGCCCGCTGGGGACACGACAGTTTTCAGAACTCAGAGTGTCCACATTCTGGCAGCTCCCCAGAGTCACCTGCCCGAGGTCCCCAGGGAAAGAGGGCTCGGCTGCCCTGCCAAGCCCTGGCAGCCCTCTGGGAGGTCTGGGTCACCGGGACCCGCGGTTATGGCCGGCCTCAGGACAGTCTCGCGGGAAGCAGGGCGCACAGGCTCAGGAGCCGGTCTGCTGAGCTCTGCTTCACTGCTCTGCCGTCTAGCTCTGTGCCCAGAAACAGCCTACCCACCCCCCGCGCTGCGCCATCAGCGCCACAAGGCGGGACTTTTGTCTGTCTCTTTTCTTGCACGTCCCCAGCACCCACTCGGCGCCTGGCCCTCAGCAAGCACAGGTGGTTGCCAAACGAATGAATGAAGTGAGCCGGGTCCTGGACCTGGGGGCCCGCCTCACGCCAGGTCCGCGGAGGTGGGGGAAACAGGAGAGGAGTGGGGTAAACGGAAAAGCCCCCAAAATTCCAGACAGAAAAAGCAGAAACACTTTTAAAAGAGCAAAAACCGTGTGAAAAAGGAGGACTGGTCCTCATGGCGAGCCAGCGGGGGACAGAGGCGTGACCGGCTCCACGGCCCCCACGCGGGAGCCAATGGTGCGGCTAAAATGAAGGAAATTCCAATGGAGTCCAGCTCCTTGGTTACACTCGCTGTATTTCAGCCCCTAGCCGCCACATGGGACTTGTGGCTGCCACCATGGACCATGCAGACAGCACGTGTCCGTTGCTGTGGAGAGTTCTACCAGACGGGCCAGACCGAGAGGCCAGCCCGCAAAGGGCGCCCTCAGCCCCGAGGGGCTGTCCAGGCACGAATCTCCCCGAGTGTCCCCAAAGTGCCGCCACCTGCCCCTGGGCTGGACTCGCGCCCCCCAACCCAGTCTCTGGCAGGAATCCCTGGGGAAAGCCGGGGCAGCTGGCGGTTGCCTGGACGCACAGCCACGCCAGGAGGTCAGGACTGCTGCCCCCACGTCACAGGTGAGGGGGCGGGGCCCGAGCTGCCTGGGGTGGGCAGGTCGGAATGGGGAGCCCCAACAGGACGTAAGCCGGAGGGCAGACAGAGACGAGGTACAGAGGGGGATGGGAGGGGAAAGGGACTGCGGTGCAGGGAGCAGGAAGCGGCCTCTGCCAGACACGCCCCCACTCTGCCCTGCACCCCGAGACCGAGGAGTGCCTGGGGTCTGTAAGGTGCGTGCTTCCTGGGCAGGGCCCAGCCTGCTCACCTGGATCAAAGGTGGCAGAGGGCTTGAGCGCGGCCGCGGCCAGCCTGGCCATCATGGGCGAGATGAGGCCCTTGCTCGCGGAGATCCTCTCCATGATGGAGGCAGGGGGCACCGAGACAGAGGTGGCGGCGGCAGGGGCTGAGTCACCAGCTCCCGAGACGGCCAGAGCGGGCGTGTCAGGGGTGGCTGAGGCTGCTGCCCCTGATGACATGGCACCCAAGAGACCAGGGGTGCTCACGGGCAGGGAGGCGCTGCCGCGGCCCGGAAGGATGGGGAAGTACGGCGCTGTGGTGGGCAGGCCTGAGTTGGAGAGGGCCAGCGCCAGGGGGATGGAGCCAGGCAGGCCCTGGGACAGCAGCCCCGAGATCTTGCTGTTGGGAGGCTTGGTGGCACTGGGCGTGGCCTCGGCAGCGGTGGCCGTGGCGGCGGCCAGGGAGGCGGAGGACTGCTGGCTGGTGGGGGAGGCGCTGAGGCTGGAGTTCTTGCTGCTCAGGGCGGAGAAGTCCACCAGGTCGTCGTTGCTGGACTCCTCGTGCTCGGTGTCCTTGGCGCCCAGCAGCGAGGGCGGCAGCCCCAGCACGCCCGAGGAGCGGATGTGCCGGCGCTCGTGCTTGCGCTTGTGCGAGGTCATCTGGCTGGTGGAGGTGAAGGTGAAGCCGCAGCCAGCGCGGATGCAGTGGAAGTGGTTGGTGGCCTTGCTGTACACGCAGCCCTCGTACTTGCACTCCTCGTACTTGTAGAACTTCTTGAAGCCGTCCTTGGCGTAGGCGTCATCCTTGATGTGGTAGCTCTTGTGCTTCTCGATGTCGCACTTGTTCTTGAAGGTGAACGTGCAGCCAGGGCGCCTGGATGGGACATCGGGAGCCTGTCATGGGGCCTCGTAGGGCCAGGAGGAGGCCCTGCTTCGCTCCCACCAGGGCCCAGGAGGTCTGGGCCTCCCATGGAAGACTGGACCATCCCTTGGGCCTGGTCCCGGGCCTCCTGTCCCTCCCCCGGGCCAGGGAGCCTCGCCCGTCAGCCTCCTGGTTACCTGCAGTGGAAGTGTGTGGTCTTCTGCCCGTAGAACTGGCAGTCGGCCGTGCCGCAGTCCTCAGTGGCTCGAAAGCGCTGGAAGCCGTCGTTGATGAGCTGGGTGTTCTTCTTGTGGAAGTTCTCGTGCGTCATCACGTCTGATGTGCTCGTGTACACCTTGTTGCAGCCCACCTGCAGGGGCCAGGACGGCAGTCAGGGGGCCGGAGGCCAGGCCCACCGGGGCTGAGGTCAGCGTGGCGGCCCCGGTGGATGCAGCAGGGGCTCCCGGGCCTCCGACCACTGACCGCCCTGCTCAGGGGCACCCCTGTACCTGTGAGCACCCCACTGGGGGCGCCGGGACGGCCCGCTCAGGAACCGTGGGAGAAAACCCCTGAGGGCCTCCAGGCCTGGCCTGCCTGTGCTGAGGGTCTGCCTGCCTGCAGGGGCCCAGGACAGTAGCCTGCCTACGCGTGGCACCCCTGCCCCGCAGGGGGTGGCTCTGGAGTCCCAATCTGTGGCTCTGCCTCTAAAGCCCCTGGGGTGGGCAGGGCTGGACCCAGGGCCTGAGGTCACCTTTAGCCCAGGCACTCGCGCAGTGGACGGGTCTTGGCACAGGGCTTTCCCCACCCACCCCAGCTGGGCCAAGGCAGGCAGCGTTGCCATATTGAGTAAAAACCAGTGGAATCTGAGCACTCCTGAGGGCTGGGCCGTGCCAGTGTCTGCACCATCTCAGCGCCCGGAGGGCGAGCCCCCCTCTCCTCCTGGCCCAGGTTGTCTCACGGAGCCCATAACAACCCCCTGACAGATACCGGGCGAGGCACGGCGGCTGCTATTCACAACCCAAAGTTGCTCCCCCTGGACCTGACACCTTGAAAAAGCCCAGACTCTACGTGGCATTAAAACAAAGAATTAAACAAAAACCTCCTCAGGAACCATTTGCAATACTGCTCTTGGTGTTAAAGCCTGAAAAATGTCGGTCTGTATAAACAGCCCGCTGAGCTTCACCCACACCAAGTATGGCCATGGGGAAGGCCCCGCCCTGGCCCACCGGCCTCAGCCCAAGCCCGAGCCCCCGGGACTCTGCACGTGCCTGCCATCCCCCTGTCCTGCGACGGGAGAAAGGGAGGCTCCCGGTCAGGGAGGGCAGCGCCAGCCCTGGGAGGGGAGCGGGGGGTCGGGAGCGGGCGGAGGTGAGGCACCTGCATGCAGTGGTAGTGGGTGCTCTTCCCGTTGAGGTGGCAGCCGTGATAGTAGACGCTGCAGTCGTCCAGCGGGCTGAAGCGCATGAAGCCGTGCTGCAGGGAGTTGTCCCGCTTCTTGTGCATGTTGTAGTGCCGGATCACGTCCTGCTTGCTCGTGAACCGCTGCGGGAGAGGGCCGGGTTGGCTGGGGCCTGGCCTGTCCTTAGGCCGAGCGCGCCAGGCCAGCTGCCAGCCCCGGGGCTCTCTGGTCTCCCTATACACAGCCCTGCTGGGGATCGGGGCTGCCCAGGCTGCTGCAGGGCCAGCACACAGGACCTTGGCAGCAACAATTCCAAAGGTTCCAGAGCCACAGGCTCTTCCCTGACCTTGCCCCAGGCTCCCAACCGCTGCACCCAGGAGCAGAGAGGATGAACTGGACCAAGCCTTTAAGGGGGGCCTCTGACGGTGACCCCTCCTTTAGCCTCGTGCCGCCTGTGGGCTGTGCCACCTGGGCTCCCTGGTGAGACGGGGGCAGCCCCCGTGCAGGCTGCCCCCACTCCCACCACTTGCCCTAGCGCTACGCTCACCAGCGGGCGGCTCTGAGGGTAAATGACAATCCACCTGAGCTTCCACGTTACCATCTATGAAATGGGGCAGTACTGCCAACCTCCCACGGACACTGGGAAGACCGATGAGATGAGGGCCCTGGGCTGTCTGGCGCAGTCCCGGTGCCTGGCTGATTCCAGGGGGGGGAACCGGAACGAGCATCACCAGGACGCAGATGGCTCCCGACCCTCCCGGTGCCTCATGGGCAGGAACCTGGGAGCGTGGACAGGCTGGTAGTCTCCCCGAGTTAAGTTCATGTGGCCCACGCGGGGCTGGGCGTGCGTCCCACTTCCGGGAGGCCCTCTGCCGCTGTGCAGGGGCGGGCATTGCCCGGGAGCCCTTACCTGGTAGTTGCATTCGGGGTCGAGGCAGTGGTAGTGCTCGCGGTACTGGTAGGCACAGTGGATGTGGCCGCAGTGCTGGCTGCCCGAGAACCTGCGGACGGGGGAGGGCTCAGACCTTGCTGGGGGCCAGTCCCGGGGGTGCTCCCCAGGGGCCTTGGCCCAAGCAGCCAAGAAGAGTCTATGCCTACGCCCCAGAGAAGGGCTCTGGGCCCTGTGCAGGAGGTAGGATGTGCGGCGGTAGAGGCGGCGTGCTGGGGTGATGTGGGAAGGGCCTGAGGAGGCCAAGACAAGCGATGGAGCCCGTCAGGAAGCCCAGAGGCACAGAGCGGCAGACCCATCCTGCCTGCCTGGGGACTGAGCTCCAGGTAAAGGCACAGAGGCCTGGCGCCGCCGTGGCGAGGAGGAAGCTGGGGCCAGCCAGAAGTCCGAGCGGAGAAGGGGCAGAGACCCAAGATGGGACGGGATGGGACGGTGGAGGCGGGCGCCCCCGAGGCGGCCCAACCGCCCTCCACGCAGGTGCTGCCCGCCGCCTGGCACTGGGCCAGCTGCCCCTGGCTGAGCCGGCCCAGGGCTCTGCTGCTGAGCAGTGTTAGAGGCTCTCTCTGTCCTAGGCTTTCCTGACACTTGAAACAGTGCAGAGTTATGAATTTTTAAAACGCAGCATCTGTTTGGTTTCCTGAGGCAGGGAGTTCACTCTCCAGCCAGCTCCGCAGCCGGGAGCTCCAGCTGCCTGGCCACTGCCCATCTCCCCAAAAACGCCTGCCTTCCCCTGGCCCCGAGGCTGGGGGGCGTAGTTCCGGGGCCTCTGGAGGGTCCCCCGGGGAGGGCCTGTTGCGACAACTGTGAAGAAGGTGGCGGGCGCAGCCCCCTTGCCTGGCTGGGAAGGCGTGAGCCTGGGGGACAGAGTGAGAGGAAACCCCCTTGTAAGGGGACAGCCACTTGCAAATAAATATTTAAGCTGAAGCTGCCAAAAAGGCCATCTGCTGAGGCACTAATAATAATGATAATAATAATAATAAAGAGAGCAGAGCAAAACTGGAAAGACAGAGAGAGACGGGGGAGGCAGATGCGCAGAGAGGGATGGGGGAGCCTGGAAAATCAGCAGAACGACAGCTGCCGGGGCACGACCCCCGCCGTGTGCCGCCCGGCCCGGCGCCCTCGGTGGGGGCCTGTCGAGGTGAAGGTCCTTTGCCTGCCCACCCGCTCACTGCCTAAGGACGGAAAGGGGCAGGGCTGCAGTCAGGCGCACGGGGTCAAGGCCTGGCCCGGGGGCCCACGGAGGCCACCTCCCCTTCTCATTCTGGCCGGTTCCACGGTGGCCCACACCACCCTGGGGTCCCGTGGGAGCTGTGGAAGGGCGCCCTGCACCCACCTGTGACTGGGTCCTGCCACGGGGCCCCCTCAGTGCCCTGTCCTGCCTGGGATACACGCTGCTTAAGGGCATGTGGTCTGGACCCGCCAAGGGGGCAGGGCCTCGGAGACAGGGGAGAGGGCAGGCCCTCGGAGGGTCTGGGAGCAGGAGTGTGTGGGGCGGGGGAGGCAGCAGGCACCTTGGCATGGGCAGTCGGGTGGACGTAGGTCCCGCGGCCCCCAGGCATGCCTGGTGCCCCCCTCCTCTCTCCACGGCAGCCTCCTCCCGGGGCCTACCTGGCAATATATTTCTGGTAAATGTTTACATCTTCGGTGACAGCTGGTTTATCTGTGGGCAATCCGTTCCTGGCGAGAGACACACAGGGCACAGCCGATTAGCGGACGGGGTGGCCTCGTGCCCCGGGAGCGTCTGGGGGCAGCTCCCTGCCCTGGGGTTCTGGCCCTTCCTTCTGGTGGTCGGAGGCAAGATCCCTGGCCGACGTCCGGCACAGGTCCTGTTAGCTCAGCTCCAGCAAGGGTCTTAAGCTGGCAGGGTTGGAGGGCTGCTGGTGCCTTGGGCATGGGCTGGGCCTGGCCTGACTGGCCTCGGAGGCTGGGGACTGACCCCCTCGCACACGGGGAGTCAGGGGCGCTGGCTGAGGAGGGTGCCCGGTATCACTGTGAAGAGCCCAGGGAAGGAGCAAGGGCGGCGCCAGCAAGTGTGACCGGCAGGCAGAAAAGCCTCCCACACGGCAGAGGGCGGCTCCCCGGGCCCGCCCCCAGGTTTGTGGCCCATCTCCGGGAAGCGGGTCTCATTCAGCCCCACAAGATCTGTGGACGATCATGTTGCCGTTGCCCTGGGCAGTGGTTTTCAACCATTTTCATCTCAGGACACACATAACTAATCGCTAAAACTCCACGGCACACCGAAAAATACATTTTTTTCCTGGTCTGAGAATAAAATAGGTATAAATTGGTATAATTTTAATTCATTCACATGGGATGGCTATTGCTGTGTTGGCTGTTGTCATTTCTTCTGACAATCTAAGGAAAACGAGGTCAGTGCCCCTGACTCAATAGTCACATGTGTTAAAAATTCCCGGGGTGCACCGGCTGAGAATCGCTGGCCTAGGGGTTCGTGCTGAGAGCGCCCCCCCCACCCCAGCCTCCCACCTTCTCTTGCTACCTTCCCCAGGGCCCAGGCCTGGACCCGGGAGCCATGGCCACCAGCTGGGACTCCTGAACCCCCACCCCAGAGCAGGGTTCTCTCAGCCAACTACAGCCTGTCCCTGGCCTGGTGGCAGCAGGCAGGGAAAGTCCGTCACAGGCGAAAGGGGTGACGGTGTCCGTGGTACGTGCGCTGGCAGATGAGCGTGTGCCCAGACGTACCCAGTGTGTGCGAGCGTGTGTGCGCTGCAGATGTGCCGTGAGCAAGCCCAGGAGCTGCATATGAGAGGCCACGCAGGCAGAGGGACAAGGTAGGTGTGCGTGCGCGCACATGCGTGGGAGGGAGCCCATGCGCGAGACTCCGAGTGTGTGTGGGTGCAGAGCAGATGTGCCTAAGGTGTGCGTGCGTGTCCACAACCGTGAGCTGGGATGGCAGGGCAGCGGGCCTCGGCAGGGGGCTGGCGGCTGGGGTGGGGCGTGCCTTACTTGACAGTGGAGACGGTCCCCGTGGTGATGGAGTCTGTTTTGGAGAAGGTCGACTTCAGGTACTCAGGAGTGTTGAAGGGCAGGGAGGCAGGTGGCTCGGGCCCTGGCCCCGCGGCGCTGGGGGCACTGGGCACGCTGGCAAGGGGGGCAGGCGCGAGGCTGGGAGTGGGTGGGACCTTGGCGGGGCCCGGCTTCTGGATGGCCCGCACGTCGTACTTGGAGGGGCGGCCCACCTTGCCTGTCTTGAAGGCGATGGCCCCGCCCATGTCGGGGCTGCCCTCCCCAGGTTTGAAGAGGTGCAGGTATTTAACGTTCTCCAGGTCGTACTTGGATGGCTTCTTGTACGTGCTCCCGTTCTGGGGCCGCAGGTTCTCTCCCGTCTTCAGTTTCTGGATGAAGAAGTCGTACTTGGAGGCGCGGGCCACCAGGCCCTGCATGGGGATGCTGCTGTGCGAGGGCAGCGGCAGGATGGTGGCCTTGGTCTCCAGGTGCGCTGTGCTGCTGGGCAGCCGCAGGCCCGGCAGGGGGCCCACCGCCTCCTTGCCGGCTCGGTCCTCGGCCTTAGTGCCGTGGGCCGGCCAGGAGAGCTGCTCGCCCGCCTTGAGCTTCCGGATGTACTCCTCGTACTTGGAGAAGCGTGCCCGCTTGCTGAGCGCGTCCTCCGCGGTGGGCAGCGCCGAGGAGGTGGCCACCTCAGGGGTGGGGCCTGCCCGCAGCTTCTCGAAGCTGATCTTCCTGGCCAGCTCGTCCCTCGTGTTCTGGTCGTCATAGCCAAACATGCCAAGGAACTCGGTCATGGTGGTGGCCGCGTAGTCCCGCAGTGAGGAGGTCTCTCCTGGGACAGGAAGGAGAGGCGGTCACTGCTGGGAGGGGGCAGGGGAGCCCCCCCAAGCGCGAGAGCCATGAGCCCCCACCTATAGAGGGAGGAGGGGGCCCGTGTGGGGAGGGGGCGGAGTGGGACATGATCTATGGACATTTGGCTCACTTGTTAGGTTTTACGACTCTTAAATTAATTTGTTTAAAAAAAAAGTAATTAATACTGGGGTAAAATAAAACGAGTTCATCAATGCCAGGAAAATCAATTTCCTAAATGTTCTGGCCGATGGCTTTTCAGTACATTAAACAAAGTTTCATAAATGTCTCCGCTCTCTCGCTTTGGCCTAATATGAAAGAGAAGTCATTTTACTGGAAGTAAGGCCAGATCCCAACCTGCCTGCAGGGGTGGGGCTGCCTCCAGGGGCCGGGGACCGAGTGACAGGGGCCTGAGGATTGGTGGTCACAGGGCCCAGGAGCGGCAGGAGCCGCGGGGGGTGGGGTTGGGGGGCCTGGCTGGGGAGGACCTGGCCTCCGGGCCCTGCCCAGAGCCCCGGGTTGCTGATGGTCCCAGAGAGCAGGCTGAGGGGGCCGAGGTCCTGCTGCTGTGCTCGCCTGAACCTGCGCAGGGCCCCCACCCCAGCCGAGATTTACGCGGCACCCTCTGGTCACTCGCGCTCACGTGCAAGTGGGCCGTCCCAAGGAGTCAGGGCCAGAGAGGCTGCGCTGTGGGCCCAGGGCCGCGGCCCCGAGCGCGGCCGGTCCTCCTGCCCCGCCTGAGCCCACACATGCACACACACGCACCATCGAGCTCGCTCCCCGCTGCCTTCCCGACCTCACAGACCCGTGCACCCTAACCCCCCAGGCCCCGCGCCCAGCGCCCAGCCTCAGGATGGCGGGAGGTCAGACGGCCCGATGGAGACACCCCGCCTTCCACACACGACCTTCCACCCCAGCAGGCGTGCGGCTCCTTAGCACACACAAGACTTCCCGCACTGCACACCTGCGGACACCCACCCCGTGCTCCGCCCTTGGCCGGGGTGGGCGCACACGGGGGTTGAGCCCCGCACGGGGTCCAGGAGGGGTGCGTGCCCCACCTCACGCCAGAGCCAGCGCCAGACTGGAGGTCCTAACAGCACGGTGAGGGGGGCTGTGGCCAAAGGAGGGGTGAGAGGCGCGGGACTCGGGCAGGGGAGCAGGCGGGGTCTCCTTCCAATCCCCACTGGCCCATCGGGGGGCTCTCGGACCACAGCCAGGCGTGGCCTCTCAGAGCAAGGCTGGGCTTGGGCAGAAGAGAAAACCCAGTGGGGTGTGCAAGGACGGGCTCCGAGCTCCTGTGGGGTCGGGGAGAGCCGTCCCGGGGGCTTGCGTCCCCGCTAGGTGAGGAGGGGACAGTCCTGGGCGGCACCTGGCCCCTGAGGTAGGCAGAGAGACTCAAAGAGCCGACAGACAGCTGCTCCCGCCCGGTGGGGGTGGGGCAGCGGCCTGGGGGCTGCTGTCCTGACCTTACCACCGTGGGGGTGGGGCCCAGCCTGCGAGGAGTGGGCTCTCGCTGTTGGATTCAGTGGCTCAGGGACCAGGAAAAGGGGCTAAAAATAGCTGGAGGCAGCTGAGCCCTCACTATATATGGCAGAGAAACAGGAGGCTTTGAAGGGCAGGCGGCTCAGAGCAGGGAGGGGGCCAGGCGGGGGTCCCCGGGGCAGCCTGCGGGCCTGTGTGGCCCAGCCCCAGGGCCCAGAGGAGGCGGCCCACGAGTCAAGCCCACGGTGGGTAGCGAGGGCTCCGGCTGGCTCTGTCCAGGGCCCAGGGCTGAGCAAGCCTCCCAGGTGACACACTGCAGTCCCACCGGGCCTCCAACCAGAGGCGTGAGGTCTGGGGCCAAGGGGCCACCGGTATTTTCAGCTCCCCACCCCCCAAGGAGAGGAGGCCGGAGTAGGAGTCCAGTGCAGAGCAGGGTGAGGGAGAGGCTTGGGCGCTGAAGGGATGGCGGCCCTTGTCCCTGTCCCTCCCCTCCTCAGGCCCAGCGCAATCACCTTGTGTCTGGGACCGGCAAGGGCTTTTCCTATCAGAGGAAACTGAAGGTCACACTTTTCCTCATTGATCTTGCAATGTTTGTTAATTACTCTGTCACTGATGTGGCGAAGGATAATTAAACAGCTCTGTTTATATCTTATATGCATAATTATGTGGCTGCGCAGGGCTCCCCGCACAGGGAGGAGATGCGCCCCTCGCTACAGGGGGAAGGGGACAGGGGAGAGGGCAGGGGAGGCTCGGGCACCAGGCACAGGCCTGGCAAGGAGGCTGGGGAGCTGAGGAAAGGCCACAAATCCTGGGGTTCTGGTCCTGGGGGTGGCCCTGTCCCACCGGGACCCCAGGCCCGCCCTCCCTGGAGAAGGAGGAGCTCAGAACTGCTTGGAGTCTAAGGACAAGGAGACGCCAGAAAAGCCAGGCCTCAGCCACCCCGTGGACAAGAGGTCAGCCAGAGGGGCGTGTCCAGGGCAGGGGGTGGTAATGGGATGTTTGGGCTGGGCCGTCCTGTGGCCCCGTGCCTTGCCTGAGAGGTCCTGCTGGGGACAGCCAGGGTCCCTGGGAAGTGGGGGGGCGGATGGTGTGGCAGTGGGAGAGTAGGAGACCAGGCCTGTCCCTGAGCGCGCGGGGAGACCACTGAGAAGCAGCCTTTGCAGGCAGCCAGCCGGTGTGGCTCGGACGCACTGACCGCTGCTCCCCAGACACGGGCCTGGTGCTGTGCCCTCCAACAGGCTCCGCCCCTCTGGAGTGCGCAGCTGTCTGCCCACACACGGCCCGTCCGCCCACCCGCCTACCTGTCCCCGCTCTGTGGCTTCCTGAGGACCTGCTGTGTGGTAGGCAGCCCCCCATCCCCAGCCCTGCTCTCACGCTTGGGAAGATGCCTTCTCAGGCCCTTCCCTTCTCCACCTGGCCCTTCACCCCCACCTCTGCCCAGCCGGCCTCCCCATTCCCTGCTTGAGCTTGACCTCAGCCCGCCCTCCTCAGAAGTCCTCCCGGGGTCAGAGCAAGGTGCCTGTATTGGCCACGGGAGTGCGGGGGGCGTGCGTGCTCCGTGGACACACCACTCCCTCGCTGCCACCGGGCCTCCTCGCCAGGTCACGTCCCTTGTGGGGCTCCCAACACCCACCTGAGGCCTGCTTGGCGCCGGGGCCACTGTCGTCCTTGCAGGCCGCCCTGTCTGCGTCCTTCTCCTCCACCACGCTGCCGTCCTTGGGGGGCTCCTCGCTGTGGTCCTCCTCATCGCTGCAGCCCTGGGGCTGCACCATGTAGACACCCTCGGGCGGCAGCTCCAGACCCTCGCGGGCCGTCCGCCCCAGCAGGGGCGTGGGTGCCGGCTCCTCGCTGTACTCCCCGTTGACCCACTTTTCGATCACTGCCCGCCTCTTGTCTTCTTCGCTGCGGGGGGCCCGGGCTGCCCCCGACTCCGCGCCACCGCGCTCTCTGTCCTGGGGCCTCCGCGGGCTGCCCTCGGTGTGGGCGCTGGCCTCTGCGCCCTTCTCCACCACCACCTGGCGGCTCAGCTTGGCGCAGATGGCGTTGAGTTTCAGGCCGCCTTTGCGCTTGGCCGCCATCGCGGGCTTGCCTGTGGGCGGGTCGGTGCACCGGGTGCCTTCAGCTGTGGAGAGGAGAGAAAGGTCAGGGGCACGCGGGTTGGGCCGGAGGGGCTGCCCACCTCTGCAGCTGGGGCGGAGGCTCTGCCCCCACGTCCCCCAAGCCGAAGCTCTCCCAGGTCATGATTCTGTCACACTGCCCTGAGACCACCCGGCGCATGTCTGAACCCCTCACTGGGCTGTGTGCTGGGGGGGAGGGGGGCCAAGTGCCCCCGTCGCTCTCTCCCAGAGCCTGGCACCAAGCGGGGCGCACACGAGCTGGTTCAAGGAGTATTTTGCAAATGAGCGAATGGATATGTGACCCTTCAGACGCAAGAGGCTGTCTTCTCCCAGCACCTGGTTCCTGGAAGCGTTTCCTACACTTGTGTGGCCTTGGGCACCTGCTCTGACAGGCCGGCAGGCCAGGCCCCAGTCAGGATAAAGGGGGCGCGTGGGCTTAGGAGCTGGTCGGGGGGGCAAAGCTGGCAAGTGAAAACAGCTTGACCCCGCCCCACGGCCTGCTGAGGAGGGGGTGGCTCAGGGCCGGCAGCAGCGTGCCAACCTCCTGCCTTACTGTCCCAGCTGCTCTTGGTGGGCCCCCGGACCCGCCTGAGTGTCTCGTCCCAGCCGCTCTTCGGCCTGGCCTGCCCTGTCCCTGGGCCCCCGACTCCAGCCTCTGCACCCTGGAGAACTGTCAGGCCTCCTTTTAGGCAGCCTTCCGCGCCAGGGTCCTCCCGGCCCCTCACAGACTCTGTCTTGTCTCCTCGGCGATTTGCTACCACCTCCCCCTGTGTGCAGGCCTCGAGCAGGGCAGTCCGAGGGCGGAGCTCCTCACAGCCCCTCCGAGAGCCACTCGTCCCGCCCGAGGCCCTCACGCTGCCCTCTCTCCTCAGCCAGCTCCTGCAGCCCCGAAGGCCTGGCCCGAGAAGCCCACTTCCCAGCCCTTAGACGCCGCTGTTGCCGGGTCTTGTCCCTGAACACGACAGCCCAACACAGACACCCCACAACTCTAACGAGGCTGCCTGAATGCTAGCTGCGTCCGTCACGGCCGCTGAGCAGGCTGCCCAGGTCACCACACAGCCTGGGGCCTGCCACAAAGGCCAAGGAGGGCAGACACACACGCACGTGTTTATGGGTGCATCTGTCCGCTTGCCCATCCATCCATGAGTGAGCTACCCCTATGGTGTGTCCCTGTGGCAGAGCCGGGCAGGCGGTGGCCACGGCGCACATGCTCTCAGCTCACAGTGACTGTGCACGGGGAGCCCCGTCAGAGCTTCTCAATGTCAGGGCGCCCTCACATGTCCCCCGGCAGGAGTGGGTGTGTCCCAGTCTCCACGGAGGTCAAAAGGCTAAGAGAGGGAAGGCGCTGTGCTGTTCAGTCCCTGCTGAGGAGAGGCTTCACCCTAACAGGTCCACCCCCTAAGAGCCCCACCGCTAGAAGCCCGCCGAGACGCACAGCAGGCGGGGATGCCCACCCCTGTGCGAGCCCAGAGGCAGACGTGGCCTGAAACGTGGACGGCTGACCCCTGATATGGACGATGCCCGGTGGCCCCAGCCCCTTCCCGAGGCTGGCTGCCCGTGGACGGCCTCAGCTGCCCCGCAGGGGCCTGGCGATGCCCGCCCAGCCCAGCCTTGGGGAAGGGTCGGCCTGGACGCGCGGGCCCTCCCAGCCCCGTGGCCCTGCCCTGCGGGGCCCACCCTTGCCCAAGGCGGATGCCCACTCTCCCCGTGTTGGTCTGCATCTCCAAGTCCGTGCTGCCCGCACCCACATCTCCAAGCACCGACACGGGGCTCCTCCTCAAAGCTCGGTGGCAGGGCCCCTCATCACACACCTCACCCAACCTCCAGGCCAGCCCAGGCTCCGTGGCGCCAAGTCTCCTCCAGCTGGCCCAAGGAGAACAGAGCAGGCCTCACCTGGTCCCCTTTGTCCCCTGCCCTGGTGGGGAAGGGAAGGGTGGGCGTGGGGAAGCCTGCGCTATTTTTACTGGGAGGTAAGCAGCCAAGTGTGTATGGCAGACGGCAAGTGAATCTATAAATATTTATCCCGAGGAAGAGGGAAGCAGAAGCTCCCAGGGCTGCACTTGCTGCTGGTGACACCCCCTCCCTGGGCCCCCACCCATCCTGGAGCCTCCTGGCTCTTGGGCCCACCCAGCCCACCCAGCCCAGCCCACCCTCTCCGATCCCGGCCGTGTGCCTGGTTTGGTCCCTCCTGGGCCCCCACCAGCTGCAATGCAGCTGTGCGCCCAGGGCCCACCCCCAGCCCGCAGGCCCCTTTGCTCCACCTACACCCCCTCCACCTGCCCTCCAGCTGCTGCTCTGCCCCAGACCACCTGCCTTCCAGATGTTGCCCTCCCTCTGACTCTCCTGCTGGTACCCGCGGTGGGCGTGCAGGAGGTGTGTGGGCCTGGGGCGCAGGGCAGAAGGCACAGAGTGGCCTTCCCCAGTAAGTGGGGATAAGTGGGGACACGTGCGAGGCTGGGGTGGCAGGCGGGGGCGGGGGCGGTCAGAGCCGAGGTCCAAGTTGCCTGCCCGCTGCCCCCAGGGGGCCCTTCGGCCCTCCCTTGCCCATCAGGGCCCGGGGACCTGCAGACTGCCCGCCTTGTGGTCTGACCCCAGGCTCCCGTCCATGTAAACATTCCCTGACTTTCTTCCCTAAAATATAAACGCCGTGGCCAGGCCTCAATGGGAGGAAGCCATCCGTCCCCGGCCCTGTCACCGCCCCTTTCATCTCTCTCCCACCACCAGGCCGCCCGCTGCTCTATTTACACTGGGCACTTCCTCTGGGAACAATACGGGCCCGGGAGGCCAGCCTGGGCTGCAGGGTGGAAGGCGGGGGTGGGGGGACTCCCGTGCTGCCTGCCTGGGAAGGGCGCCCCCAGGAGGTAAGGGGCGGGGCAGCTGTGAGGGGCCAGTGCCTGCACATGGGCAGCGAGCCCGGGGCTCCCCCGGCCTCCGGCCCAGTGGCTCGGGGCGGCGGGGGCGAGCTGGGAGGCGGCATGGCACCGTGGTTACGGCCAGCTCTGGGGTCTGCCGGGCAGGCGCTCGCGGCCCCGGGGCAGGCTTCCTTGCCGTGAGAGGGCCACAGGGCTGTGAGGCGAGGGGGTGCCTGTCCCTGCCAAGCACAGGGCCCGGCTAGGACCTGGGCAAAGGCGGCTGAGTCCTCGGAGGGGCCCGACAGGCCAGTGCGGTGCCAAACCTGGGCACAGGAGCCTGAGGCCAGGGAACCTCACCTGGCCGGGGGAGGGAGGGGGCAGAGCAGAGGAGAGGAAGGAGGGCTGGCGGGGGTGCAGACAGCCCTCCCAGCCACCAGCGCCGCCCGCCTCGGCTCCCCAGTTCCAACCCTCCCCTCCCAGGACTTTAAGCTCGACAAGCCCCCCGCAGGCAGCTCTGGTCTCTGGCCGAGGGGATCCTGCTCATGGTGGGAAACGGGGCAGCAAGGCTGGACCGCCGCTGCCCCTCCTCAGGCCCTGCCCCACGATGCCTCGTGATGAGCCAGCATGGCAGATGCCGTCATTGTCCCATCTGAAAGGGGAGGAAGCTGACCCTGGAGCCATGAGGGTCCCCTAGCGCTGGAGTTCCCGCAGGCGAGGGCTCCGCCAGGTGCCAGGGCCTCCGTGACACCCTGTGAAGGCTGCTGGGTGGGCTCTGGGAGGTCCCAGGCCTCTGCGCCCGTCTCTCCCTCACCCCCACCGCCAGTTCCCCTAACATGGAGCCCCCTAAAGTGTTAACTGCGATGGGTAAAATGGTGCAGCAGATTGCTACAATAAATAATTTACTGATATTTATAAATATTCAAATCAGCCAGCTTCAGAAATCGAATGAAGGGAGGGTCTCAGGAGAAGGGCCCGCTCTGGCAGGAATCTCATCTCTCCCCCCCAAGGCTGGGGAAGGCCGGGCTCCCGCCAGTTCCGGGGGCGGGGCCCCGCGGCTGCACCTGGGCCGCTTGGCCTTCGCCCCTGGGGACGAGGTGTCGGGCGTGGACGGCCCTACCTTGGCGCTGGGTCAGGGCCAGGCCTTCCGCTGCCCTGGGCTCGGGCCACCGAGGCTCCAGCGCCTGGGGCTCAGGTCTCGGGGTCTGCTTGTCCTGCCTCGTCGGGGGACAGTCCCCAGGGGCTGGGCGGCCAGGCTGCCCCTCCCGCCATGAGTAATGTGTTTGGAGGCCGGGCGGCCTGTCAGCTCCCAGGCTCTGGGTGCTTTATGGGCTCTGCCTGGTGGCTCTGAACTCCCTGGTAGGAAATAAAGTTCTCCCTGCGCGTCCCTTCTAAACATTTCACTCAGTGGAAACGGTGTTTAAGAAAAATGAGGACATATTTCTTCCTAAGCATGCAGTGTCCCCTTTGGGCAGCCGAACGCCCGCTGTATATCAGGAGGTGGCGAGGCAAGGGCCAGGCACCCGCCCCCCGGGGTGGGGGGTCCAGGGCCTGCCCGCCCGCTGCCAGGCAGCTTGAGGACCACAGGCACCATGGGGTCGACTCTGGCGGAGGCCCCGGCCCACGCCCCCTGGTGCGATATAGCAGCTGGCATCCTCTGGGCACCGCCCTGGTGCAAGGGACAGTGCCACCTCAGCGCTCCCCCAACCACCCCACATGGCCGCTGTCCCGGCCTCGTTTCCACGTAAAGAAGCAGAGTCCAGCGAGGGTGGTGACTGTCCATGGTCGCCCGGCGTTAGTGCTGGAGCCGACTGCCACGCTGGACCCAGCCATCCGAGGTCACGGTCTGAGATCCCCCAGACCCCCCACAGCCTCCCACTCTAGCGGCAGCAACGTCAGAGCCTCCGCCCTGCCGCCCCCAAGAGCCTGAACGCGACAGGCCGCCGCCCCGGCGTGTGGGTGCTGTGCCTATGGTCCCAGAACACTCTCTCTGAACGCCTTCCACAGGCCAGGCCCTGGGCCGGGGCCTGAGGGTGCGATGCGGGCAAGACAGACTGATCCGTCACCGCAGCATGGACTCTTCCTCGGAGACGAGGGGCAGACGTTCACGTCTCGAAGCGCGAAATGCTTGCGGTGACGAGTGTAGATGCCACAGG